GGGTGGTGGGGGAGGGTCAGGAATAGAGAGGGGGACCGGGGGCGACTGGGGCGACGACGTACAGGCCCACGGGGCCGGGTGGGGGAAGGAATGCGAGCGGGGGAGCCGGGGTGGCCCGGGGCGTGGGGAAGCAGGACTCGGGGTGACATTGGGGCGGTGGCCGCGGAGGGGGACGGGCGGCTTCAGAGGCGCGAGGGGGCCTGAGACGCAAAGTGGGCTCAGAGGGCGCCTCCATCAACCCGCCCCCGGCGCGCCTTTCGCGACGCCCTTGGAGGCGGGAATCGCCCCGGTCCCCGGCGCGCGCAGAGGTCCCCGCGGGCGGGAAGGAGCCGACAGCGAGCGGCCGAGTCCCGCGGGTCGGGCCGGGCTCCGGGGAGGGCGCTCTGCTGGGGACGTGCGGACGCCCCCGGGATGGTCTCAGGCTACGGTCCCCAACCCCGGGCCGTGGACCGGGACCGGAGTGTGGCCTGTGGCCTGTTAGGGACCGGGCCACGGAGCTGCACCGCCCCTCCCCCGCCCCGTCCGTGGACAAATCGTCTTCCCTGAAACCGGCCCCTGGGGTCGGAAAGGTCGGGGCCGCTGGTCTCGGGCAGGTGCTGTCTGCGGTGGGGGCTCCAGAGCGTGGGGCGCAGGGGAGCCCGAGGGCGAGCAAGGAAGCCGCCCCAGCTCGCTCTTCTCTTTTCCTCACTCTCGCCCGCTCCGAATTTCCACCATGGACTCCCCTGACCCGCCTCCCCGGTGCCGCGGGCCCGTGTCCCGCCAGGCCTGACCTCGCGGCCCGGGAAGCGCGTCCGCGCCCGGGGCGGCGGTTCCGCAGCGGTTGCCGCCTCAGTGCGGGCCCAGCGTCGCCCGCGCCGGCTCTCGGGTGCTCAGGCTGCCTTGTTTGCTTTGGTGCGTAAACGTTTGCTATGGCAGAAAATAAGACTGAGCTGCTGTTCCAAGTCTTAGCGGATTTTCACCTCCGCGTATTCTCGCACTGCCCCTGGGTTGCAGGGGGTTGTGGGATTCAGATATACGAGTAGTACAAGGTAATTGAGGAAATGGAAGGAAATGAAAATCTGTTGGGCAGGGCGCGGTGCTCACGCCTGTAATCCCAGCACTCTGGGAGGCCGAGGCAGGAGGATCGCTTGAGCTCAGGAATTTAAGACCAGCCTCCGCAAGAGCCAGACCCATCTCTACTAAAAATAGAAAGAAATTAGCAAGGCCATTAAAAATGGAAAGAGTTAGCCGGGCATGGCGGTGCACTCCTGTAGTCCCAGCTACTCGGGAGGCTGAGGCAGGAGGATCGCTTGAGCCCAGGATTTTGAGGTTGCTGTGAGCTAGGCTGACGCCACCGCCATCTAGCCTGGGCAACAGAGTGAGACTCTGTCTCAAAAAAAAAAAAAAGAAAAAGAAAAGCAAATCTTTTGGGTCATGTCATTCAGCATTAACTACTGTCAACATTTTGAAATATTTCCTCATTTTACAGTTGTATTTATGAAATAAATGTGTAACAGTAATATATAATGTATAATTTTTACAAGTTTAGCATTAATTTTTTTCCTGATTTTTAAAATCTAACATGAACTTTCCTCTTTCTAAAAATTCTTCAGAAACATTGAATGGGTGCATAAAAGATGCATTATAATGGCATAGTTGAACATCTAAATCGTTTCCATTTTTTCATTACCGATGTCGATTCAATGGGATTCTTGTGTTTAAGTCTTGGTATGAATGATTATTTCCTTAAGATAGATTCCAAGAGGTAGAATTACTGAGTTAAATATTTACTAGTTACTTATTTAAGGCTCTTGATCTGCGGTACAAAACTGCTCTCCAAAAAGTGCGCCCTCCCAGCAGAACGCTGGTTTCCCACATCTTTGTCAGGGCCTGTCTCCTGTCAAAATAAAAAACCTAGTGCATGTGATAATAACAGGCAACTCAGAAACACTAGTGATTTTGTGCATTATCCACCTTGTGAAGAAAAGACCCATGGAAAAAAGTACTGGAACAACTGGCTACGGCGTTTGGGGGAAGGAGTCAGCTCTTTGTAAAATGTACTATGTCCTGCAACCTTGCTAAAACCAGTCTCGTAGCGCCTTGGTAGATGCCACTGGATTTTCTGCATAGATGATGCTGTTTGCTCAGAATAAAGGCAGCTGTGTCTCTTCCTTCCTCCCCCCCAAAAGAGACATCTCGGACTTAACAAATCCAAAATAGCTTTGATCCCCGCCCCAAAACGACTGTGTTCAATAAGCCCCCATCACTAGTTGTTTATTTGCGCATTCAAAATACATCAAATGCTCACTGTAGCCAATGAATGTTTTCACTGCTAGACATACAACCGTGGATGAGACCGAACAGTCCCCATCCCTAGTGGCTCCTACTTCAGATCTGTACTGTCTAGTAACATTGCCTCTGTTGTATCTCTCTTCTCTTTTTTTGTATCAAAATGGATGAAACGAGTGATGGGGAAGTCAGCAGATGGCTACAGTGAGGAAGGGCAGAGCGCTAATAACCAATTAACATGAGCCTCAAGGAAGTGGGGCTTTGACTACCGAGCAATGTGGATGCTCAAGTTTCTTTGTATCCTTAAGGTGGGAGGGTTGTGGGAGAATTAGCAGCCTCCACTTGAGGGAGTTGCAGAAGAATGACCTCAGAATCTGAGTTGGGACGATGATGATGAGAGAAAACTCACCGTAAAAGGAAGATCAATACGCTGGCATTAATGCCACTCACATTCCATTAGAACAGGCCAGACTAGCATCTCAAAGTGTGGACAGAGTGACAGAGGGTATGAGGTGGAGGGGAGGTGGGTATTAGTTGCAGGGAAGCCAGTTAGGCTGTTCTAAAAGTCCAAGAAGGAAATGAGGACCGTCTAAACCGAGGTAGTGGTGGTGGAGACCGAGAGAAGGGGTGGATCCGAGAAAGATTTAGGAGGTAGAATTGAAGGGCTTGGTAATGGACTAGATGCTGTGTGTGTGAGGGGAGGGGTGGGTGATGAGAGGCGGGAGGTGTCCCTGATGATTCTGAGGTCCCCATCCTGTTTTCCTGGATGGCAGGAGAGGAAGGTGGCACCATTCGCTATGACATGGGAGAGAACCAGGGGAAAGGGGAAGGTGCCAAACATCTGTGGGACAGCCAGGTGGACGTGCCTGTATCAGCTGGTCTAGAAGCCAGAAGGACGTCTGTGATGAAGACAGAAACCTGGTCTCGGTGGCCAAGAATGAGCTGTCCTGGAGAGAGAGAACGTGCGGCAGAGAAGAGCAAAAGCAAAAGGGAGGATGAGAGTCAGAGCCCCAGAAGCATCATTTAACCGTCAGAGGAGGAAGGAGCTGGCAGAGGGGAATGAGAAAGAAACAGGCCACAGTTTTCATGGACATCAATAAAGCTTTATAACAATACAATTCGTTATCATTGTTCGGATTAATATTGTAACAATTACACACTTTTTACATTATGAAAATCAGTCATAAATAGTGTAAAAATAATTCTGAAGATCAACTTCTCACAAAGTAGGAACACTGAAAACAAGTTTAAAAAGCAAAATAAAACAAATTAGAAACTGAACAAAATGCAATTATCTCCAAATTGCAAATCAAAAAACCTCATGCATCTTTTGATTCAGTAATGTCAGCTGGAGAAATTACAATGAAATTGAAATAAGAAATCAAACAGGGAGAATTCAATCTTTCAATTATTTACACTGCTGAGAGAAACAGGTTTGTGCCATATTTACAGTGATAAGACACAACACATTCTTAGTATTCTAAGAACATCCAAGTACACGAGACTGGCCCACAAACATTTAAAAAAATATGCAGTGTAATAATGCTTGCCAAATTTTTTTTTTTTTGCATTTTCACTTATTTTGTATTTGTGTGAGTTTTTGGCAATATAAAAATAGCTGCGCATAGAGATGAACTTCAAAATGTAAAAAATACAAATAAAAATATAATATTTTCTAAAGAAAAATCAGATACATACATCTTTTTAAAATGTTATTAAGTTGAATGAAACATTTACAACAGCATAAAGAATATTCACATAAATGCCAACAATGCGTAAGACATTCTTTTATGAATCCACTTCATTATTTCTGAGATACGTGAGAATATCAACTGTATTTTGAGAAATGTTGATACTTTCTTTGTTACATTGTCCATAAATCATGAATAATGGTTCAGTTTGAAAAATCTTTCTATTCCCAAAAGGACAGTTCTGTCAATAAGAGGCATAGGCAATTTTATGCATTTAAATATATTTTTAAAATCAAAAAGTCATTAAAATGTTTATTAGTATTGGAATAGCAAAACCAAAATCCACTAAAAATTTAAGTTAGTGGAGTGTCCCTGCTGTGACATATAACACATCTAGCCCACGTAAAAATATTTCAAGAAAAATGGGAAGAATTAGGGACTGAAGGTTCTTATATTCTAAACAATTTAGCAGAATCATAATTGGTCAAGCTTGTTAATTCCACTAAGGATGTATGATTGAAACAGTCAGAATCACATGGGATTGTTCTTATTTACTATTTTTGGAAAGATAAGATTCCTATGAACTTGACTTCCTAGAGATAGCAGGGTTGTTTGTGTGTGTGTGTGTGTGTGTGTGTGTGTGTAAATTAGAAAGTCCTATTTTTGGTAATGAAATAGTAATATAATTTTACTATCAAGAAATAAGGAAAAGCAAGGTTTCAAAAATCAGCATCTGTATGTCTCTTATGATCACTCATTAGACGATGTTAAAACACCATCACACAAGTAGAGCCCAATTCTGGATAAGACAATATATAGTGGGGAATAAAAGGAGAACAAATCAATAACTTTTCATGCTTCAATAGTAACATTAAAAAAAATCTTGGAAATTAAGCAAATTTCCTATATGATAAAAATATAAGATACCAAAGACAATTTTTTCTTAGGTACAGACATGCTGATTTGACCACTTTCTTAAACTAGCAGATATATATATAGAGACACATATTGTTGGACAATATTGTTAGACAAAGGACATGTAGTATAAACTACGAGATGCGTACGTTCTTGCTGTCCCATTAGAACATCATATGCACAGACTGTAAGTTCAAAAACAAGACCTTTCTTCTGGTAGAAATTAAAGATACTCCAATGTCTTTTATAAAATCAAATGAGAAAGAAAAATCCTCCAAGATTGCTTTTGATAATGAGTAGCGAAAACTAAAAGAAAAATTAAGCACATTTGTGCGCTAGGTCCTCCATGTGGTGTATGCAGACTTCTCTGACACTGGTTTTGCCATGTTAAATTAAATCATCTAAGCTCAAAGACGAGTGAATGAAAAAGACGAAATGAACGACAGTTCAGAAAGGCATGTGGTGTACGAAATGAACATGCACTAAGGGGATCCAGGACCCCAGTAAACACGCGGCATCTACAGGCACATTGCTTTGTTTTACAGTAAGAAAGGCTAGTCATTGAACCACAATTACAGCAAATTCAAGAACTTTAAAAATAAAACCACACACTAACGATTTAGGAATGCTATTAAATAGAGAAATGAAATTATCCATAGTAGTTGCATTGTCCATAATAAAAAAGAAAAGAAATACATTAGCACCAACCAACATGAATGGGAAGCAATTTTAAATCTAAAACACAAAAATAATTTGGCATCCTTCAGAAATGTGTTATCAGAAATACAACCTGACCTTGCCTTATTTCCAATGTATGTTTTATATATTTTTTCACAATCCTCTCTCTATCCAATAGTATAAATTAAAAGAAAGAAGTCTTTAAGGAAAATATATGTTATCTACCAACATATATTAACAAACATAACTCATTAGTTCATCTAGAAATTATCTGAGGTTCCTCTATCTTGATGACAAAATAGATGCTTGAACATATTTTAGTAGCCAAAAGTTTAGGATTATCCATGGAGTCAAGACCTAGAAATTCCACCGAACAAAGAGGACTATCATGCCTTTGTTTTTCCCAAGGAAATAAATGTAATGGAAATTTATAACTTTCTTTAATCCTAAAATAAATGAGTGTTGTCAAATCAGTTATAGAGCAAAACCCAATATACACACAAGGCAGAACGGTATTCTTTAAAGGGCTGTGATCAAAAAGAATTTTTTTTATACGTGAAGTGATTCTCTTTTGATGTCGAGGTATTCTCTTTTGAAGCTGTGCGAGTTTTAAACAGTGACCCATCTCAATACCTCTTTCTACTAGAGTAGCAGAAAGAAAGAAAGGAAGAAATATAGCCACCAGACTTTTCTCAAGACAGTTTAGTGTTTTTCTGAAGAGAATGTAGTTTCACCCCCTTCATTTCATTTTTACAAATCATTTAAGACAAATTCTTTCAGACGTTGAGCAATACCTTGTCCTAATATCATGCCATGTAAGAAATTGCTAGAAAATGCTCTCCATTATTTTAAAAATGCTAAATTGGCTTAGAGGTGTGGAATGTTACTAGAAATGTTACCAATTAGACTGATCTAATAGTTTAAACATCTATCTAACCTGGAAAACTCAACAGAATGAAAAAGGAAGATGCCACTTTGTATGAATGATCCTTTGGTTACATAATATGAAAGAGATCATGAGGATCTTAGGGTCCTTGCCTTACAATTATGGCTTAATCACCGTCACCAGAAGCCAATGATGAGCTAAATTCCCCTCTGGTGGGGAAAACCTACGCATGACACTAGAAATCTTCCCACAAAATGGCACTGAGTCAAGACAGAAATTAAATTCTCTAATGGGCTGAAAAGGTAACTACTCCTCCTTGACAATGTTTCTCCGAATGTGACCCTTCCTCTAAGAACAAACCATTTCAAAACACGCTACCAACTCTTCACTGCGCAAAGAAATGCTCAGTCTAATACAGTTAGGTAACTTCTGCACAAGTGATGAAAACATACTCTCCTAAACATACTCTCCTTATGGCAACTATGTTTCACAGCTTTCTGAAATCTCAGATTTGGTCAGTGGTTAAAGGATAAGACAATCATGTAGAAAAGTAAAAAAAAAAAGAGAGAGAGAAAGAAATCTAAATATAGACAAAACTTAGAACCATAAGAAATAGAAATGAGTTAATACTATCAAATGTGACAAAATCTTCGCTTTATATTAACTGATAATCTCTATGTATGTTACATTCATCATGTAAAACAGTCAAAAAGTACTGAAAAAAATGCTTAACTTTCATGCTTTACAATGATAAAACTGAAAATAGAGATTCTTTTATGTTCTCTTCAATTATCCAAAACAAGAGAGAAATCAGGAAAAGTTCATTTGGACTGTTGGAGCCAAATCGGTATGATTTGAAGACTTATTTAAAATAAATTGTTCAAAACGGATGTGACAAAAACTGAAACAAATATTTTCTACATATTTCTGGGACCACCAAAAAGGATTAAAATGAATGGAAATATCTTTCTGTTTCTAGAACTTTGCAGAAAATGATATGGGTTGGGTCCTAGAAGGGAGGAGAGCTCTTACATCATCTTTGGCAGAGACGGTACGAGTGACTCCCCGACAGCTTCAGGAGAGGCTACTTCGGCCGCCCCCTTCTCAGAGCAGGTTATTTCTTCAGCACCCTGAGCTTGGGTGGGATATACATACCCCTTCCCTCAGCGACAGGGGGTATCCCAAGAACCTCCTCTTCCAAAAGAAGTGCTGTACGCCTCTGTCCTTTTCCCAAAGCACCCATATTAACACTTGGTGGAATTCGGTTTATTTTTAAAAAACGTCTGCAGTTCTGGGTGTTTGCATTTGTAAACCTCTTTCCTACTTGGTCACACGAGAGACAGTGCTGGATGCTGAATCAGTCCTCTTCCTGCGTCTTCGCGGCCAAGGGCTGCCCGAGGAAAACTGGCGGCAGCAACAGGCTCCGCCCCTTGGTATTTCTATCAAGGTGGCAGCTGAGCCCACAATACCGGAAGCCGTAGATCTGCGGTCGGGACTGCAACTCCCTCAAAATACAAGACAAAGTGTGTGTGTGCTCTCCGACACCTTATCTCTTTTTGGCAATAAGCCACGGTGTAACCCCCTTGAGACGACAAAAGGAACACAAGTTTAGATGCAATCAAGGGACTCAGGATGAGCATGCGAGCATCTGCAGCCGCACAGTGAGCAGGCTGGCACACGGTCATGCTGTTTTAGTCAGTCTCAGCGGGCAGGGTGGGCGTGAATCAACGCTGCTAGGGAAGGTGGATGGGGAGGTGACAGTCAACGCTAAAGTTGGTCAGTATAGTACATTTTCATAGCTCTGAGTCCATATTTGGTCACGATTTCATGTAAACTATTTCATGGCACTTTTTGTCCATGCAGTTAACAAGCCCAAAGTAAGAAAATAGCAAGTATGATCATTCTCCGTCACTGACGTGTCCACATAAATACGTATCTTCACGTAAGGTCAAGAGATACTGAGCTATGTTTCTGCAGGCTTCTCGCTGCTTTCACAGATGTAAGTGGAGAAAGGACGGACACATGTACTACGGCCAGCAGGAAGAAGCAGCCCTATGTAAACATATCTCAGACTTGTACAATCTGCAATTCAGTTTTCAACTATAAATATAAAACGTGGACCATTATATACACAACTTCATGCTTGGAGGGTTAGATTCATCACTGCAGGAAAACAGA